GGAAGCAACCTAGCTATCCATCTCCATGTACAATTTCTGAACCTGCACACTTAGTTGCAGTAAACACTCATTTGCATAAAGAACACAATCAGATTGATTAAAATGTTTGTCACGTCATTTTAATGAAGTTTTTGTTTAAGTGTCTTAAACTTAGAAGAAAAGGGGATTAAGAATCCAGGAGAAATCCTTACCTACCAAAGCATCAGGACCTGCCCACATATACCCATTTAAGACATTTAACAAAGAGAAGTTTGGTTTTGTATAATAATGTACCAACAAGCGTATACTATTTACGGTCCTAGAGAGGCTGATTGCCATTAATAGATTCAAAGGCAGATGTGCAATGATCACCATTGCATTTCTCAAAAAAGGCACTTCCACCTCTAGGTCACTAGTCAAATACACAGATTCTCTTTTGACCTGAGCTGTATGAGACAGCCTTTCAGTGGTCTATGCAAAGTGAACTGTTAGAATCATTCTACTTTCTTCACATAAAGACACTACCAATACAAATGACTCAGTTGAGAGGTCATCTAATGATAAAACATGAAAAAAAATCACCTTTAAGTTAGATTTGTTACAGGTGGCAAAGTGATATTTGTCCTGTTGTTAGAGGACATCAGTTTCTCTGGCTGTCAATCATGAGAACTAAACTGACTAACAAATAAATTATGAGCACTACTGCTAGTGGAAAATAGGCCTAATATGACGGAAGTAAGGAAGTAAGTCATGCTTTGAAAGCAGAGGAGAAAAATCCATAGACTTTAAACCTTTTTTTCCCGATCAATAGTGTAGATTTGTATTCCTGCTCCAAATTCATCCACAAACTTCTCTTCTTGGAGACTGAACAAGGTATTTTATTGCCTTCTGTCCATCTTGCACGTATGTTCAAGATCCATTAGCTGATGAAATATTTATTGAAAGTACCTTCATGTTGACATCATCATCGTGACATATTCAATGTCTCCTTTTAAACTTAGATTCAATATTACCTCTTCACAAAGATTTTCCAGTCTGAACAGAATGCTAATATTTGTGGACCAAGCATATATACACCTTTAAATAACAATTGTTTAAACTGAAAAAATGTTAAGTTTTCTCACTTTAAGATTACAAATTGATTAATTTAATGTTTTCTTTATGATAGGATAAAATGAGTATGTGGACTGTAATTATTCCCATTTAATTTTTTCAAGAAAGAGACCTAATAGAAGAAACAGAATTATAAAAATATACTTAAAGTGCATATACCACTATGGTCTCAATTCCAAAGTATCTATTTTTAGTCTGGTAGCCTACGCAGAAGATAGCATTGGCTTTACTATGTTAGGCTGGTGCCCACATACAAAAATGTATGCAGCTTGAATCAGAAGAGGGGAGGGGATGAACTTATGTAAATGAATTGCCAATATCCTATCCTGGACCCATTTATTTCCTCTTACTGGGGTTGACAGCCTATTGGACTTTCTTAATCTTTGATCCTGAAAGGGACAGAGAAATAACCAAGAAGAATATACTGGTGAGAGGTCTTCCAGCTCCATTAACAGGGCCATAGTAGGGGAAAGACCTAATGTTTTTCAGAAGTCCAGAGGACCTTCCCTCCTTATGATTACAATTTCTTCAGATATGATTTGAAGGAGAAACAGGTGAGGCTTTAATTTAAACAGCCTTTGTTAGTTTTCCTGACAGACACAAAGGTATGAGAGTACAGGCAGTCCCCGGGTTACGTACAAGATAGGGACTGTAGGTTTGTTCTTAAGTTGAATCTGTATGTAAGTCGGAACTGGCGTCCAGATTCAGCCGCTGCTGAAACTGATCAGTTTCAACAGTGGCTGAATCTGGACG